TTGCTTTTATTCACTATATACAGATGCTATATATAAGTATCTACATTCGTGTTCACTATAACAAACCACTAAGTTGGTATGCTGAGTGGCAGTGGCAATGGCAGCCCGCCACTGGCTGCCACTCCCTCCCTCCCTCACCTCACCTTGCCACCGTACTGTTTTTGCTTTTATATACAGACGTTATATATAAGTATTTACATGTTTTGTTCACCATAACTGTACATCTAAGCTTGTATGGTGAGTAAAGGCACAAAGACGTAGCTACTCACCCAGTCAGCTAGTGGCGGCCGCCCTCAAGGCCAGGCGCACTAATATTTCTCCTCCAACAATACTGTTTGTGGTGTTACTACGCTATATACACACATTATATATAAGTCTACCTGTTTTATTCACCATACTTGTACAAGTAAACTGGTATGGTGACCAAAGACCATAGTTGTCACCAGTAAACAACATGATAAGTCGTGCAGACGACGTCACCGCCCTCACCAAAATGGCGGCTCCCAACCTACTTCTCTTGCTGTTTATACCCTCTATACACACGTTATATATAAGTATCTACATTTTTGTTCACCATAGCGAATCACTAAGCTGGTATGGTGAGTGCAGTCAATAAAAGGTGGCCACACACAGTCAGAAGACAATGCCACTACCCTCCCTCCCACAGCATTACTCCTCCCTCCATAGAGCACAGCGCTAAATATCACCAGTCCTGCTATTATCAGAACCCTGGTCAGTTTTATTACAGTCAGGGGTCTTCTGTAATAATATCATCGCTACATAATAGCATGAACAAGTATATTATGGCTTTTTTGGCGATGCTGTGGTCACAAGCTGAACAGCAGTGCTGTGAGCTCATGCTGCGTGCGTCAGGCTTGGTAGCTCACTCTATACTGAGGCCCCTAACACCCGGGAATTTGGCCCACAATTTTTTTTAACAATGGGGTCTGTTTACAAAAGCCCTGATGTAGGTGTTGTGAACCCCGTGTATCCGCGGGCCGTTTAAATCTTGCATAGTACTCCAAAGCATCATATGATGAGATGCCAATTTACTACAAGTCGGTCAAAGCATCATATGATACAATGCGCAATTTAAGGGTTAAGCGTTACTCAACATGTCATATGACGTGTTGAGTAACTTGCTATGAATTGCGCATCACGTCTTATGACGTGTTGGAGTACTACACAAGATTTAAACGGCCCGTGGATACACAGGGTTCACCTCGCCTTCATCAGGGCTCTTGTAAACAGATGCTATTTTTTTTTTTTTTAAATCGTGGGCCTAAATCCGAGTGAGGTCCTCAGTACTGAGCCACCAAGGCTGGCACACGTAGCATGAGCTCATAGCACTGCTGTTCAGCTTGTGACCACAGCATCGCCTAAAAATGCCTTAATATATATGTATATGCTATTATTTAGCGATGATAGTATTACAGAAGACCCCTGACTGTGATAAAAATGGCCATGATTCTGATAATAGCAGGATTGTTGTGATAATTAGCGCTTTAGTGAGAGGAGTAATCATTTTGGGGAAGGAGGTAGCGTTGTCTGCTGACTCTGTGTGACCACCTTTTACAGTCTGGACTCAATATACCAGCTTAGTTGTTCGCTATGGTGAACCCGTTCTCGCAAATTCGTAAAGTCAATATTGTAGCATAGGTGATATACTAAACATTGTACCCTTAAAAAGATTCATAGAAAACACCGACCTTACCTAACCTTGTTAGTATCTTAAGATAAGCATCTTATTGCTTCGTAATTACAATTATTACTTAACCTATACCTATTGTAGGTTAGGTAATAATTGTAATTACGAAGCAATAAGATGCTTATCTTAACATACTAAGTATAGGTAAGGTCGGTGTTTTCTATGAATCTTTTAAGGGTTGTCTAAGTATGTCACCTATGCACATATTTAATAAGTCGACTTATTAAATTTGCGAGAACGGGTGAATAAAACATGCAAATAGTTATATATAACGTTTGTATATAATGAATAAAAGCAAAAAAAGTATGGTGGAAGGAGAATGGTGGCAAGTCAGGTGAGGGAGTGACAGCCAATGGCGGGCTGCCACTGCCACTTAGCATACCAACTTAGTGGTTCATTATGACGAACACAAATGTAGATACTTATATATAACGTATATATATAGTGAAATAACAGCAAAATGGAGTGTGGTGAGAAGTGATTTTGGTGAGGGAAGTGGCGACATCTGCATGATTTATCATGCTGGGTATGGGTGGCCACTATGCTCTTTGGGCACTATACCAGCTTAGATGAACATTTATGGTGAACAGAACATGTTGATACTTTTATATAACATCTGTATATAGTGAATAAAAGCAAGAACAGTATGGTGGGAGGAGGATGTGGGCGAGTGAGAAGTCATTGAGGGAGTGGCAGTGAGAGGCTGACTGGCAGATGTGGTGGCCACACCTCGCTGCTTTTTGACTTGCAATTTCAACTTAGTGGTTCGTTATGGTGAACAAAACATGCAGATACGTATATATGACCTGTGTATATAGTGTAATAACCGACAAAGTATTTGTTTATTGTTTTATGAACACAATAATTGAATCACTAATATGCACACCATAATTTTGAGTGCAGCGATGATTCACACAATTTATTATATAAATATATCACACTACACACTATTGAATAATATTACAGCAAAAAAACAAAGAAAAAATCAATCAAAGACATTGAAATAATTAGGTAATTATCTCTTTGTGGCCAATCCTTCCTGACAGCTGGGGCTGAGCAGACTGCCTTGAACACACGCTGAGTCAGCGCCTCTTTTTTGCCAGACTTCCGTGCCCTATAGCGGGCAAAATATAACATTTACGATTTTTTAATTTTTGTCCGTGATCAGGGAACACAAATTAACAGGTTTAGAAGAATTTTTGTTTTGTTATGCGCCTGTGGGTGACAATAGCCAAATGGCCCTTAGCAACACAAGGGTTAATGCCCCCATTTTCTTCTAGATGATATCTTAAAGCATATTTATTGTCTAATAGGACATGATCACTCTTTCCCAAGGAAGGAAGGTACTTGATGTCAAATATCTCTTCTTCTTTCCTGGTGATTGCTAGATCCAGTACTGATGGCACATCCCCTTCCCTCATTCTTGTGGCCTCCTTGACATGTTGATACAAGAATGTCTCCAGAATGAAGTTTTCAGATCTGCATGTCCAAAAGTCCTCCATTCTTGCTTCATATGCATCCCAGGCTATTGCTTTAAAGTTGAATTCCCCCTAGGATCAACAGTCGTGATTTATCTTTCCCTGCTTGTACTATAATTTCTCTCATGACCATTATGAGGCCCTCTCATTTGTCATCCAGGTCTTCCTTTGACTATGTGTTGCTTGCTGGTGGGCTGTAGGCATTTACAATTATTAGTTTATAATCCTGATTCCAGACCTGCATTGCCATTATGTCAACTTCTCAAGGATTTTTAAGTATTAACACTCTTACCTTCAGGTGTTCTTTCACCAACACAGCCATTCCTGTTGTGGGGCGCTGGCGGAGCCACTCCAGCTTGTGTTCAGTATTGATGCAAGTTCTGTCCCGTTCTGCAAGCTGTCTCATGCATTGTTTCACCTCTGACCTGCTCATGTTCCTCCTGAGCCATCCTGGTCTTTGAACCGGGTGTTCTCTCTCTCTCTCCTCAGTTTGTTGTGGCCCCTAAGGATCAGGACTGTTTTTCTAAGGCTCCTTTCCTGTTGGCATCGGCCTCTGGGGGTCAGCTCAGGGAGTTTCATGCTTTCCTCCGACGCAGGGGTTTCTGCTCCTTCGATCCTGGTGGTAGGTTTGTTCGCTTGCAAGCGTCTCCTTCTTTTCTGGCAAAGAATGTGACTGCTGCTTTCTGGTGGGGTCCTTGGGTTGTTGATGCTTGGTTGGTCAGGCTGGGGGGTCTCTTATGTGTTGTGTTTGGTTGCGGGTCTCCGCCGTTATTTGTGCGCCACGGCTTCGTTGGCCAGGGATGCGCTTTGGGTTTGACCAGGTTTTCCTCCTTTCCTGTTCCCGGGCTCGGGTCTCTCTCCTTCCCTGTTCCTGGGCTCGGGTCTCTCAGGTCGTCCACAGGGTTATTAAGTCTAGGCAGCCTGTGGTTTATCGCCATGCCCACGACGTTCGTAAGTTTGCTGCTTTGGCTGCCGTCTTTGGCAACATGTCTTGGCTTGACATTTGGGCAAAGGGTTTTTGGAGGTCGAACAGGGTCCTGGCTGCTCGCTACCTTGTCAGTGTCCCTGGACCTGGTAGGGCCTGCGTTGCATTGGGTCAGCAGTTTCAGTCAGTTGTCTCGACTTCGTGTTGAGGACTGAAGACTGACCACCTCTTAGGTAAGTCCCTGTGTTTTTTCTTGTCTTTGGGATGTTAGCTCTGGGGAGACGATGGGGCTTTCCCCAGAAAACCAGCGTTGAATGTAATGAAACGCCATTTTCTGAGTGAGACCCGGAGGCTCCCCGGCATCCCTCCCTCCCTCCCTCCGGTCGGCGGTGTTTTCATGTGTGTTTGACATCCAGCCTAAGAACTGCTGGTTGAAGTGCCGGTGCAAGGGTCTGGGGCCCCCTTTCCCCTCCCAGGGAGTGGGGGGGGGGTTGCGCAGACAACAGAGTGGCAACATGATAATGTCATGCTCGTTTGCTAATTTTCGGTGAGGAGTTATGTCACTGGTTCGGCTCTCGGTAGCAATATTTTAAAAAAAATAGGGGTTTATTTTGGGGCGCCTATCTTTCTGAATGCCAGACCCGGTCGATGGCAGACATAGAATGTTCCCAACCACACGGGGGTTTCTATAGGCCATTGCTCCTCATGCCTTTCTGAGGGGGGCCAGTTCCTGGCTCGTGGTCCCCGGTAGGCAAGAACTCCATGCACTTTGACTAATGCCAGAAAGCTGATAGTTAAATATCAGCCTGGATAGCTCCGGGAAGCTTCCAGGTCTCACCCAGAAAATGACGTTTCATTACATTCAATGCTGGTTTTTTAAATATTTCAGAGGAATTCTTCACAAGAATGACAAGTTAGGACTCTGGGGAATACCCTTGCCCACTGATGAACCAGTAGTATATCGAACACAGAGATACCGATATGATGTGCTTCACCAGCGCCCCATCCAGTTTCAGCAATTTGTGTGCGCAAGAAATTTATTTCAAAGTGTTGGAATGCTGCTTGGAATGGCCTACTTTGCCTTTATTTGCTATTTTAGCTGGACTAGAGTTCTTCTGCTGAAGGTATAGTATAATTCACTGCATATTTTCATATACTGATGACATTATAACAAATCTTTACTTCTATGTTAAAAAGCTCCCATATTGGCAGCTTTTAAACATAGAAGTAAACATAGCTGTTTGTTAACCCCGGTACTTCACATGTGACTCTCTGATGGTGCACAAGAAGAAAAAATTAACAAAATTATTTCCTGTTTCCTTTCTTATGTTGTTAAAATATGTTCCCTGATCACGGGGGAAAGTAAAAAAAAAATATTGTATATTATTTATTTTTTATTTATTATTTATTTATATATATATACAAGAAGGTACATTGGGATTGTGAGGATACATAGCATAGTAATTACATTCTTTAAAGCCACTAGTACGCGCAGCGTTTCGGGCAGGTCCTTAACCCTTAAACTGCGCAACGTGCCTGCAGGCCCAGGCTTCGGGTGCGCAACGCACCTCCAGGTGTTTTTATTTTTCACGTTCCATTCAAAACTCCCGCGGATACATGGGGTTCACATCAGCTTCCTCAGGGCTCTTGTAAACATACGCCATCTTTAAAAAAAATCATGGTCCACATTGCCGGGTGTCAGAGCCTCAGTAGTGAGTGAGCAACCAAGGCTGGTGCTCGCAGCATGAGCGCACAGCACTGCTGTTCAGTGTGTGACCACAGCATCGCCTAATAATGTCAAAATATATATATAACTTGTATTATTTAGCCATGATAGTGTTATAGAAGAGCCTGAGTGTGATAATGACTGGGCACAGTGTTCAAATATCAGTGATTCAATGCTGTTCACAATGTTCACAGCGCTAGCCACAGCACCACAGCGTTATTTCGTCCATTTAGGAATCTTCAAATGATTTCTTAGGTTCCTTTTCAAAATAAACATGTGGTCAATTATTCATTTACAGGAATTAGTGACCAGGATTGTGGTTATAATTAGGGTTGTGCGTAGTATTGTGGAAGGAGGAATTTTGGTGAGGGAGGGAGGGAGAGAATTGAGGTAACCTCTGTGTGTTTGTGTGGCAGCCACTCTTGTTTTGCTCACCATACTAGCTTAGTGGTTCGCTATGGGCAACACACATGTACATGTGTATATATACAGTGTGTATATAGTGTAATAACAGCAACAGAAGAATGTTGAGAGGAGCTATTTTGGTGAGGGAGGTTACATAGTAATCGTAGCGTCGTCTGCTGTGTGATTTTTCATGCAGTGTATGGTGGCAACTGTACTGTTTGGACACAATACCGGCTTACTTGCATAGTTCTGGTAAATAAAACATGTAGATAGGTATATATAACATGTGTAATTAGTGTAATAAGAACAATAACAGTATGGTGGCAGGAGCAATGTTGGCGAGTAAGATGTTGGAGTGAGGGAGACTGGCTGGGTGTGGCTGCTCTCACTCAAGGTGTTCTGAGCGTTTTGATGGTGAATGTATATAGTGTGTGACAGTGTATAGTCTGTAAATAGATTGTATATATACATAAATTAGCATGATACATGGTAAATATGTGCAGCATATACACAAAGTGTCATGCACGTAACAGTGTCTTCGGACAGTACATGTTTTACTGCCATATACAGTGTGTCACTTGAACGAACTATATGGGGCGAAGCCGATTCGTTCCAGTGCGGAATTCGTTCCATCCGTCCGGCCCCAACAACCTTCTTATTTTTTTTTTTTTTTAAACATATGCCAGGACCATTAGTTTGTTTCTTTGTTGTGTGGTGCTTCATTATAATATCTTTCATGCTCTTTTGGTGTCAATAATAATCTGAGATGCGAGAATCACCATCCCCCACCCCACTCACACCATCCTCCACACCACCCACACCATCCTCCACACCATCCCCCACACCACCCACACCATCCTCCACACCACCCACACCATCCTCCACACCACCCACACCATCCTCCACACCACCCACACCATCCTCCACACCACCCATACCATCCTCCACACCACCCATACCATCCCCCACACCACCCACACCATCCCCCACACCACAGACACCATCCCCCACACCACCCACACCATCCTCCACACCATCCTCCACACCATCCTCCACACCACCCACACCATCCTCCACACCACCCATACCATCCCCACACCACCCATACCATCCCCACACCATCCTCCACACCGCCCCACACCATCCCCCACACCACCCCACACCCATCTCCCACACCACCCACACCATCCCCCACACCACCCACACCATCCCCCACACCACCCACACCATCCCCCACACCACCCACACCATCCCCCACACACACCCACACCATCCCCCACACCACCCATACCATCCCCCACACCACCCATACCATCCCCCACACCACCCACACCATCCCCCACACACCCACACCATCCCCCACACCATCCCCCACACCACCCACACCATCCCCCACACCACCCACACCATCCCCCACACCACCCACACCATCCCCCCACACCACCCACACCATCTCCCACACCATCCCCCACACCACCCACACCATCCTCCACACCACCCACACCATCCTCCACACCACCCACACCATCCCCCACACCACCCACACCATCCTTCACACCACCCACACCATCCCCCACACCACTAACACCATTCGCCCCCACCACCCACACTCCCCACACCACCACCCACACACCCCACACCACCACCCACACCATCCCCCACACACCACCCATATCATCCCCCACACCATCCCCCACACCCCCACACCATCCCCAACACCACTAACACCATTCGCCCCCACCACCCACACTCCCCACACCACCACCCACACCACCCCACACCACCACCCACACTCCCCACACCACCACCCACACACCCCACACCACCACCCACATCATCCCCCACACACCCCACACCACCACCCACATCATCCCCCACACACCCAACACCACCCACATCATCCCCCCACACCCAACCACACCACCCACACCAACCCACCCACACCCAAACCATACCACACCACCCACACCGTGTATTGAAGCAGCAGGCTTGGAAGCGTCTCAACTCGCCCGACAAAAAAAAAAATGATGGGTTGACAGGTCTCCTCTCACACCTCCAGGACCCCCCCCCCACCCCCCAGGTACCCGGCCATACACACCACAATGCCAAGTCAGCTATTGTTTTCTTCAGGAAACAATAAAACGTGTTAATGATTAATAATGTATATTAATACACGAAAATTAACATATTTTGGCATAAATATTTTACAGCTAAGATCGAGATTTATAATAGAGTATGAATGAGAGGTTTGGCAGGCATGCGTGGTCACCACCCTTCTCTCTCCACTTCCACCTCCCCTGACAACACCTTCCACCACTGACCCCACCTGCCTCTTTCCACCACCTGCCTCCCCTGACCCCACCTGCCTCCCCTGACCCCACCTGCCTCCCCTGACCCCACCTGCCTCCCCTGACCCCACCTGCCTCCCCTGACCCCACCTGCCTCCCCTGACCCCACCTGCCTCCCCTGACCCCACCTGCCTACCCTGACACCGCCTGCCTCCCCTGACCCCACCTGCCTTCCCTGACCCCACCTGCCTCCCCTGACCCCACCTGCCTCCCCTGACCCCACCTGTCTCCCTTGACCCCACCTGCCTCCCCTGACACCACCTGCCTCCCCTGACCCCACCTGCCTCCCATGACACCGCCTGCCTCCTCTGACACCACCTGCCTCCCCTGACCCCACCAGCCTCCCCTGACACCACCGGCCTCCCCTGACCCCATGTGCCTCCCCTGACACCACCTGCCTCCCCTGACCCCTCCTGCCTCCCCTGACCCCACCTGCCTCCCCTGACACCGCCTGCCTCCCCTGACCCCACCTGCCTCCCATGACACCGCCTGCCTCCTCTGACACCACCTGCCTCCCCTGACACCGCCTGCCTCCCCTGACACCGCCTGCCTCCCCTGACACCACCTGCCTCCCCTGACACCGCCTGCCTCCCCTGACACCACCACAAATGATGCCAGCCACCTCACCAAGGCCTAACGTTCACACGACCTGTGCTTGTTTTATTGGCCTCCTCAAAATTTATAGGTATTAGTACAGTACGTAGGCTGTTAGAGGGAGGGAGGGATGGATCCAGGAAACAACCCCCCCCCCCCCCCCCCCCCCCCCCCCACCCCCCCCAATGGCTCAGGGAGCGACCGGCCGGCCACACAATGCCGGCTGTTATCTACACCCCAATTGTATTAAAAATTCTGTGAAAAGGAAATGTGTTCAAACTGTTTAAAATATGTACTGTATATATTACAATTTTCACCATTATTATTGCTCCAATATGACATTTTTCTAATAAAAAGGCTATTTTCAGTGTAGATAATGCGATAATTATCATTAAATTGACTCTTGGCATCTGACGACGAGAGGAGAGTGAGTGGTCTCTGTGGTCAGGTGGAGGAAGGAGGGTGGGGGCGGGGGAGCACGTGTTGCCTCCTGACAACAACTCTCTCACCAATGCCCCCCTGACACCATTTTATCACCATTTCTCCCTAGAAACAATGGGTAGGGATAATAAAACACTACATAACTGTTTACACTCTGGCGAATATAGTGTACGTCTGACGCTTCATTATACATAGGATTAGCATGTAAAAACAGAGCGGGGTTCGTTATAAAATGTATTTGGAACTGTGCGTAAAAAATTTGGAACGTAAAAAATATATATTCGTGGCAACTCGCGCACCCCGCCCCAGGCGCCTTACTGGCCCCGGGAGCATACGTCCTGGACAAACGGGGAATGATGACGTCACGCGCCAACTTAGCTGCCAAAGTACAATTTCAATTTTTTTTTTACATACCCATACTGAGGAAAGGGTTTTTGACACTTTAACCCTTTAACTGCGCGGCCTATAAATATTACACCCCCCTCCCAGTGCGCAAGAAATAAATTCTTGGGAAAAAATTCATATTAGTTCTGAAAGTGTCAAAAACCCATCCCTGTATATGGGTATAGCAACGGAATTTTGAAATTGTACTTACTTTGGCTGCTATGTGGTCCGTAAGTGGTGTGTGATG